ACCAAGCTTGATAATCTTAATACTGTCCCTTTAGAAACTGAAAATATTGATGCAGACCTGAATGGTACTGATGTTGAACTGGCAGAATCTGAACCTAATAATGACACTGTAATACCACCTGATGAATACCAGCTAACTAGATATAGAGAAAGAAGGCAAATTAGACCTCCTGCTAGGTATAATACTGAAGAATTTGTCTCACTGTTCTCCTATCAGGTTGAAATTGAATCTGAACCTTGTTCATATAATGATGCCATAAAATCAAAGGATTCAAAAATTTGGTTAGCTGCTATGGAAGAGGAGATGACCTCATTGCATAAAAATAAAACATGGGAATTTGTTGACAAACCTAAGAATAAAAAATTGATAGATTGCAAGTGGATATATAAAATAAAAGAAGGGGAAGGGGGCAACAATAACATTAGATATAAAGCTAGGCTTGTTGCAAAAGGGTTCACCCAAAGAGAAGGGATTGACTATGATGAGATCTTTTCCCCTGTAGTTAAGTATACCACCATAAGATGTATTTTGGCTTCGGTTGCTCAATTTGAATGGGAATTAGATCAATTAGATGTAAAAATAGCTTTTCTATAAGGAGAATTGGATGAATTGATCTATATGAGGTAACCAACAGGTTTTGAAAATGGTGATCCAAATAAAACTATTTGTATGTTGAAAAAATTATTGTATGGGTTGAAACAAGCCCCTAGACAATGATACAAACGTTTTGACTCTTTTGTGTTAAAACTTGGTTTTAATCGAAGTAATTATGATACATGTTTGTATTGTAAAGGACGTGGTGGTAAGAATTCTCTTTATTTGGTTCTTTATGTGGATGATATGCTTATTGCTAGTGCTTGTAAATCTGAAATTAATGACATTAAGCAAAAGCTAAAATCAAAATTTGACATGAAAGATCTTGGCTCAGCCAAGAAGATTCTTGGTATGCAAATTGTTAGAAATAAAGAAAATGGAACGTTGTTCTTAAACCAAAAGGATTACGTGAATAAAATCTTGAAAAAGTTCAATATGTTTGAGTGTAGACCTGTAGCATTATCTCTTGCAAATCATTTTATGCTGACCTCAGATGCATGTCCTAAAACTGAAGAAGAATAGGCGAAAATGAATAGAATACCTTATGCTAATGTTATAGGATCAGTAATGTATCTAATGATATGTACTAGGCCTGATTTAGCATATAGTATTAGTGTGTTGAGCAGATTTATGGCCAATCCTAGTGAAAGTCACTAGGAAGCACTAAAATGGTTGTTGAAATATTTAAAAGGTTCATATGATGTAAGTCTAGTGTTTAAGATAAATAAAGAGGGGGTAATACTAAAAGGTTATACTGACTCAGATTTTGCTGGAGATAAAGATAATAGGAGGTGTACCTCATCTTATTACTTTACTTTCTGTGGTACGGCTGTGAGTTGGAAATCACAGTTATAAAAAGAATTTGCTTTATCTTCCACTAAGGTAGAATATATTGCTGCTACAGATGCCGTTAAAGAAGGTATTTGGTTAAATGGTCTACTATATGAACTTGATTTTGTAGACACTAATCCAACCTTATTTTCTGACAATTAAAGTGCTATTCATTTGAGTAAAAATCATATGTTCCATGATAGAACCAAACATATTGATGTTAAATACCATTTCATAAGAGATGTAATATCAAAAGGGTTATTAAAGATTGGTAAAATTGCTACATTGCTCAATCCATTTGACATGGGAACAAAAGTAATACCTTTAAACAAGTTTCAAAACTGCTTGAAGCTTTTATCAATTGATTCCCTTTACTGATCACGCAGGTACAATGAGTAAATGAAATTATAAACTGCTGGTGAAGCTCCTGGCTGCACTATGGCCAAGAATTTGGAAGCAAGGTGGAGATTGTTGATATTCGAACCGTGTGTTCTCATTACTTATAAAAGTGTGCTTCCAAATGTTATTGAAAAGTCGTGTTTCTTGGATTAACACTTTTGAAAATAAATGGAACTGATGGGATTGAAACACATGGCTAAGTAATGACCCTTGGATGAGCTTCTGGATGATTCCAACCCTAAATATCCAAACGTGCCTTTTCAGCTCACTTGCGGTGTGTTTTTTGACTCGGCTGTTCATCTCTTTGTTCTCCCTCTTCTCTGCGTGAGATTATTCCTTTTCTTGGTGATTTGGTTTCATAAATCTTGAATGAATTCAGTGAATAAATGTAGAATACCTTGTGGTATTATAGATTTGCAAATTCGTGTATTACCCTGTGTGGTATTTTGGATGAATCTGTGTTATTCATAGCGTGCAGTTCTGGTTCTTGATAGATCTTTGTGATCCGTTCGATTCCTTTGTGGAATAGCAGTCTGTCGAGTAGTTCTTGCAAAGATAAGTCTTCATGTTGAGTTATTTGTAATATTTTTTGAGATACTCATGTATATTTGCTGCCGATTTTTGGGCTATTAGTGCAACCGAGTTTTATCCATTTATAATGGATGCTCAACAGGGGATTAGGCGTTAAAAAGTGGTCGCCAAACCTCTGGGGCTACGGTCGAAAAATTCCTCGTGTTGATTTTTATTTTTTGCATTTATTTTGTTGTTTAATGGCTTGATCATGAGACTGTAGTTAATCTCAAAGTTTTCTCATTCTTTCAATTCCCTTTGAACGTCTTCAAGAATATTCACTAAATTCCAATCCCTTTGCTTGAAATCTTCATTTTGCATCAATAAACTTGAAAGTACGTATGCATTTTTATGATTTTCTCCCAAAAGCTCTCTATTGTCGTTATTGCAAGATGAAGAATATGTAATTTACCTCCAAAATTAAGTTAAAATCGTGCACTAATTACTTGCCATGATGTTATTGAGCATTTGTTTGGCCCCATTAAATTATAATTCATTTTTCTCTCTCTTTTTATTAGCCACACATTCTCCAATAAAAAAATTACATGTAAATTTAAAATTTTTCCTTTATTTTACATGCTTTCTCCAAAAAATTACTATTCCAAAATCAGATTCTCATTATAATGAGAGAATAATGGATGCCAAATGGACCCTGGAAACAATTTTTGTTGTTTTCGGAATGTGCCTAGTGATCTCATGATAGAAGTCATTTTGATCACATCGCTAAGTCTGAAGTTTTGATGAAAATTTCGATACCTTTGCGATCACTTGGTATGCACCTTTCGATCTCAAGGTGTGAACTTTTGCCTCCCATTCAACTTGATCCCTAACTTCTTTCTTTTGTTCAGAACCTTTTCTAATTTGCATTGAAAGTCCTTCATCTCTCTAATCTTGACATCTTGATAACCATCTTCCATAATTTCGTCAATTTAGTCCTTCTCGTCCAATTTTCATTAAGTTTCTCCTTAAGCCATCCAACATTGAGCTTCTCCTAAAAAATAAAATATACAATTAAAATTAAGTATCAATTCAATAAAGCTACTCTCAATCTTTCGCTTTTGATGACCCAAGTAAATTATACTCATTAATAAGGCTGATGGACTGCACAACATATTCATTAAAACAAGAGAATCAATTAGCTTTAAATTGGCAAGCCAATTAAAAGTTGCTGACCTTTCATATTATACGATCGATTGGTCGTACTGACTACTAAGCACATAAACAGCATAAGTTTCATACTTTATTCCACTGGCTTGGTCCTCTTGAACAGAAAATATTAGTTCCATATTGACTTTACAATCTTATCCCTGCCAAATATATTTTATACCATATAAATTAAAGCAATTTACTAGTAGAAAATAAGTTTTGTTGATTAAAAAAAAAAAAGTAACTTTAATAATTAAAAGGATGAAAATACCTTTACTTCTTTTTAAAGTCAGAAAATTAGCTTTTATAAACCTACAGTCTGTATATTGGAGCTTTACAATGTAGTGAAAACTGAAGGTTGTTACTCTGTGAAATAGATTCTGATATGTACATATCAATTAGCTTATCACAAAAATACTCACTATCATATCTATAACAGTATTTGATTTGCAGCTGTGAAAATGAATTTTTACATATTAAGTCGCTTGTTTTTCCTAGCCGTTTATGACTCGGATCGTGTCTGCTTGTTGGGCTTTCTTAATTATTCAGATATGTTTCAGGGTGGCAAATGAGAGGAGCTGCTCATTGGCTCCGTTCATTATTGCTCTGTCCATGGCAGCTAGGGGTTGGATTGAGATGAGCCATGGACCAAGGCAAATTCAAATTTTCTTCATGAGTCGGCTGTCTTGAGCTCGTGGACCCCTCCTTTTTGACCTTTTACTGGCCAAAAGGTCATGACTTTTGGCCATGACCTTTTGGCCATATGTTACCATTGACAATTGTGTCACAATCCAAATTTTTCTCATCCTGGCTGAAATTATTTTGTGACACAAATTAGCGAAGTTAATTCTTTTTAGATGCGCATGTATTCTATATGACTTTGTTCATGTAGTATCAAGATTCAATGGATCTTGGCCAATTTTATTTTTTCTTGGTTCATGAATCATAATTATAGGGCTCCTTTACGCGCATTGTGTAGGTGCTCAATCCACATCACAACATACCATCAAATTGTTTGAAAGAGAAGGCAAATTGTAAGTTTTTAAATTGACTAATTTTTTTTTTTAAAAAAAAGGTAATTTTTTAAACTTATTTGTTTCTAGAAAAATTGTACACGAAATATTTTATTAGTGTACAATTTAACTCCGTTTACGTTGATCGTAGTTAGTCCCAAACCTGGAAAAAGTGAGAAAGTTTGTAGCTTTTATTTAATTTATAATTCGTATAAATTGCACAAATTTTAAATTTTTTAAAAATATGTTAAATTGTCGGGAATTAAAAAAATAAAAAATAGAGTTGACTCGGCTTTGTAAGGCCCCGAGCCCAAAGTTCGGGTCGAGACTAGATTGTTTGGCTGAACAAAAGCTTAACTCGGCTTTGACCAAAAAAAACTAGAACAATTTTTACTCAAGTAGAGCCCGATCCTCAAATTTTAGCTTGACTCTACTCGTTGACATTCCTAATTAAAACTTCAAATAATGCTTTACATCATCATCTTAAGCACAAATGATTTAGCCTGTCATGTTCATAATACAGCAACATGTAATAAATTGCTAATTCATCATACAAAATATTGAAATCCCTTTGAACATCTTCAAGAGTATTCACTAAATTCCAATCTCTTTGCTTGAAATCTTCATTTTGAATCAACAAACTTGAAAGTACTTATGCATTTTTATGATTTTCTCCCAAAAGCTCTCTATTCTCGTTATTACAATTAGTCCTCATCCAATTTTCATTAAGTTTCTCCTTAAGCCATCCAACATCGAGCTTCTGCTAAAAATAATATACAATTAAAATTAAGTATCAATTCAATAAAGGTACTCTCAAACTTTGCTTTTGATGACCCAAGTATAAATTATACTTATTAATAAGGCTGATGGACTGCACAACATTTTAATTAAAATAAGAGAATCAATTTTTTTTAAATTAGCAGGCCAATTAAAAGTTGCAGACCTTTCATTGTATACAATCGATTGGTCATATCAACTACTGAGTATAGAAACAACATAAGTTTCATGTCAAGGGACAAAATCACACATCGAATAAAGATAAAAATATAGATCAACTTAAAAGTTTTTGGATCACTCCTCTTAACAAGATTGATAGAACCCCAAATTTTAAATGGTATCAAAGCTCAATAAGTTTCAACTAGCGATTCAATTCGATTAAGTCTCAATAAATGAGTACGGATTTGAAGATTAGTCTACTTAAACGAGCTACAATCTTGTGCGGCATGGTAAGGGATAAAATCTCATATTGAATAAAGATGAAAACATAGATCAATTTAAAAGTTTTTTGGATTACTCCTCTTAACAAGGTTGAGATGGAACCTCAAATCTTAACATTTCACACTTTATTCCAGTGGCTTGGTCCTCTTGAACTGAAATATTGATTCCATATTGACTTTACATCCTTATCCCTGCCAAATATATTTATACCATATAAATTAAAGCAATTTACTACTAGAAAATAAGTTTTGTTGATATTAAAAAAAAGAAAAAAAAAAGAAGTAATTTTAATAATTAAAAAGATGAAAATCCTTGTTTTTAACGTCAGAAAAACAAATGTACACATTTACGATAGAGCATTAAGTAGTTTATCTTATTATGATCGGTATATTAGGAAAAACAAAATGCATTATTGATGCAATTTTGAAATGGAATTTTTTTTGTCTCCAATTAATTATTATCGCTGAAAATTCCACCATTAACTTCTTTTGCTTATTCAATACTGTTAAAATAATAATTTAAATAGCAATCCCATAAAAGATGAAGATAAAAAGCGAATAATAATTTACGAGTCTATAAATTGTGAAGATAAAAACTGTATTTGACCAGTTTAATCTGAATGTTCAGCTCGTTTTAAAATTATCGAAGATTTAAAATAATAACCCTAACTTGGCCACTTGAGAAAACTGGGTTTAAGATAAAAATCCATGCACATTTGATATGTTCAAGGAGCTTAATTCAAACAAAAACCTAATAATTACTACATTCAAATTTGTCATCATCTAATCACATGCAAAACAACTGTTTGGGACCCCAATGTCACACTCATATTATTGAATCCAGTTCATGTAAAAACATAAAAGCAGTCAAAAAAGGCACAAAATGGAAAATAAAGTGAAACGACAACTACAATAGAGTAAATTCAGAAATTACCATGAGAAAATGAAGAAGAAAATAGCACAAGTAGTAGAGCCCCCACCCATCATCCCTCTGCCAAAACACAAGCACTTGGTGACGCCGTTAACCACCGTCTGGCTAATCAATAGCAGCCCAAACGCCGCCAAACCGTAAACCGTGGACGCGTCAGTGCCATATAAACAGTACGTCTTCTCATCATACTCGTCCGGCACCACCGTCGCCTGTCAACACAAACCCAGTTAAAAAATTTACTACTTTCAAGAAAATTAACTGAAAAACAAATAAATAATAAAGTGAAAAGCAGTAATGGAGACTACCGTGCTACGTCGTCGTTTGGCACCGACGGCAAATACGAACGCTATGAGGTGAAGTGAGATGACAATAACAAGAACAGGAATAGAAATCGCCATTTTTCAGCTTAATTTTTAAGCTTTCTCACTGTTTCAGTTCACTTTTTCTTGAGGTGCTTATGTGAATTATTGTGCTTAGTGCTTTGAAAAATATGTCGCAGATAACAGGAAAGTGAAACAAAACAAAACGGGTAGTAGGGCTTTCTCCTCCTCAAATTGCCTTTTGATAATTTAATTCTAACGTGGAATTATTAATAATATTTGGGGAAAATAAACAAAGTATTTTCGTAAAATTATTTAATTAACTTTAAAAGTAATTACTTTTAAGATCGAATTTATTTTTTCTCTTTTACCTTTTTTTGGCCACGTTGGTCTTGAGAGATTATAATTCATATACATAACCAAATTTGGTAGCCACTAATATAACTTTAGACCCCAACAAACTTGGCTTAATACGTGGGTCAACTTCAAACGGTAAACTTAAACGAAAGCTCTCCGTTAAATTTCCACATATAATAGAATTCAGTAGAAATCAAATTAATCATGCATCAACTCTCTAATATAACTTTAGACCCCAACTAACTTGGCTTAATACGTGGGTCAACTTCAAACGGTAAACTTAAACGAAAACTCTCCGTTAAATTTCCACAAATAATAGAATTCAGTAGAAATCAAATTAATCATGCATCAACTCTCTAATATTACAATCAATTTTTATTTCTAATAAATACATTACTTCTTTTTCAGATATAATAACTTGTTTTGAAATAACAGATTGAGGTTTCTTTATAAAACAAATAACTTAATTATTTTCATAGATAATAAAAATTTAGTTATTTTAAAACTTAAAAATATGTTCGGCTAAGTATGAAAGTTAAGTTTAAATTTATATCTGCAATAAAATCTTATTAGTAATTTTTTTTTCGTTTTAAGCTTAACAAAAGCTCTCAAAACTTATAAATAAACTAAGTTGCAAATAATTCTATTTTTTTTTTAGGCTCACCCAATCATGCGCTAATAATATATGCAAGAAGTTAGCTATAAGATATTATGAAAAAAAAAAAAAAAAAATGTGTACTGTTATCAATCATTTCCAGCCCCAATTGTTGATATCTTCTTTCATGTGTGGGACTTGGCTGAGGCTGCAACAGTCATGTTTCTCATTCTAGTGGAATGGAAAGTGTGCCCCCATTTTTTTGAAATAAAAATGGGTAGAGTAGTGTTTTTTTGAAAAATGAGTGGTTGAAAAAAAGAAAAATTTACGATTTACATGTAATATTTTTTTTATAAAAAATTGTGTGGTTAAAAATAAATGAGCAAAAAATAGGATATAATGGAATGAAAATTAATAAGAACTAAAAACGGGGGCAATATAACATGATGACGTTATTGAGTTACTTCTACCAATCATAGCGATAATGGCCTAAATGGAGTGCAGCTACAGCGCAAGATCTTGACTTTTTAAGTCCATGTGCTTTCCCCTCGTGTCATAATTAAAAATGCAATTAGCCCTATAAAATTCAACATAACTAATTTTTAAATTATTAGAATATATACAAGGCGATGATTAAGCTCTTTGTGATGGATTGAGTACATCCCCTAGTGATTAGTCTCGAAACCAAGACTCGAAATCAGTGAAGTCTAATTTAACTAATGAATTTTTTTAAAAACAAAAAATAAAAAAAAAATAAATTCTCAAATTTCACTGGAGGTTAGGACCCGCGGCCAGCCCCACCTCCCCCGTCCTTGCTCTTGATATCACCTTGCAAATTTCTTAAGCATGTATAATAGTACTTACTTTCCTATGAGAAATCGAATCTCATTTTAACAACCAAATACTATGCAAAGTTCTAGTTACGAGGGGTTATTTCAATCCTGAATTAAGGTTTGATTTGCGTGGAATAGGTTGAGAGCTGAAAGCAAATGCACAAATATATTGTTTTCGACGAATCCCCCATTTTCTAATCAACTAGCAAATTAATAAATTTTTCTCAAAACGTTCTATAAAAATTTGAAGTTTTCCGTCCACAGTAAGTCATCGTTTCAACTTTTTGTCACAAATTGAAAGTTCTACTCACAAAATTCTTTTCAATTTATTTTAGTAAAACATATATGTGTCTTGTCAAAATAATATTGGGAGCTCAACTGTTATTACTATATATTGTGTTTTAAAAATTTAAGAATTTCGTCTCGACTTTTAATCTTCCTGTGACTTACTTGCCTTCGACTTTGTGTTTGGTAATAGTACTGAGAATAATGCTGTGTAACTCCACTGAAATTACAATCTCAATTTATATAGCACTAAATAATAGGCTGAATGAAATATGAAATTAAATTACTTGTTTAATTCCACATATTATTTAATGTTACGTTAACGTCATTTAAATTGGGGTTGTAATTCAAGTTGAGCTAAATAGCTTTACTCTAGTACTAAATTATATATTTAATTTATCGCGATAAATTTTTCGAATTCCTCATTAATGACCGTAAACATTAGTGTCCTCGAGCAGACCTCACTGCACAATCAAATCGTAGTCCCTATTTGTTTCTCATTTTTTAGAGAATGAGAATGAAAAATATAACTGTTATGGGTTCCACACAAGAGATAGAAATTCAAATTTGATAATTTAATATGATAGATAAAAATTATATTTTTCATTTTAATGAAAAAATAATGGGACTAAGCAGTGTGTGCTTCGCCCACATTCTTTCCAACTTTTTGAATCTCATTGTCATAATTTGTGTTCCACATGTACGAAATAGTTGCATCATTCCAACCAATAAGGCTACCACTTTTTGACTTTTCCATACAGTTGTCCAAATATAATTCTCCCAATTTTATTGACATTTGTAATGGTGTCAATAAAAAAAAAAAAAAATATTGAATCCCAATTTTAAGGGCCCTAATCTCCTCTCCTTTGGAGCATCGTGAGAGAGATAAATCGCGGGATGTGTCCCAATAGACTAGAGAACAAGAGCTTACCCTTACGCTGGTGCTCACAAAGAGTCCAATTTCATATTTCAGGAATCGAACCCTCACACTGTGGCTACCAGTAAGGTTGAGACTATCTCACTCCTATCCTTTGTACAACTGGATTATCTCTTGGGGGCTAGTAACGGTGACAATAGACTTGGCTAGATGAGGGTAAATGAGTCCAAACAATATCCAACAATCCAATAAAGGCAAATTAAAATATCGCAAAATAGGTTCAACTTTTGCGTTTTTTATTTGTTTTTCACTGTAGATTAATGAGATTTTGTACCCAAAAAAAAAATTCATTAAAATGAGCTCAAAACGGGGATCAAATATTAACAAGATGACGTCTTAAGATGAAACCTCAAATTTTAATATCGTCGTATGTTAATTCCTCTTTGTCCTTTTAATTTTTTACACACACTCGATTAATTTCTAATTCACTGCCCCACCAAATCGATTTGCATCCAGAGGATATCTTTTCCCTTTTTATTTTTATTTCTTTCATTGACGTAGTCGTTGAGAAATTCTATTTGTATACTCTAGTCTTCATTGTGACCCTCCTCATGTGAGGGGGTGTACATGTGGCAAATCTTGCTTCACTAGTTTGAAGTTTCCACCTAGATTCCTCCGTACACACGCAGCTATATAAACAAAAGTTTCTGTTTAATATAAATAAACCCGATTCCCTCGCGTAATAGCAATTTAAATTATAGCCAAACATGAAGGTAAGCCATTAACAATTTTTCCAAGAAATTAATGAAGTTACTGCCAAGTTATAATTAACGTTGTTTTTTTACTTTTCTTTCTCTATTTTTCTTAAAATTATAATAGACACAGTGTTGAGAAATAAGTTTAGTATGGATTCATTGATCTTGGTTAGAATTTATTTTCAGCAAAAAATAGTGATCAAGGTGACAATGCGAAGTGAAAAAATGCAATCTAAAGCCATGCAGATTGTTGCGGCTGAACCAGGTATGTACATATTAATCCATAACATTTTGTACGTCTTTTCTATAATATTTTTGTTTATATTATTTCGAATTGTGGTTCAGGGGTGATCTCGATGACTATAATAAAGGATGATAAAATGGTTGTAACTGGAGAAGGAATTGATGCTGCTTGCTTGATTATGTCTCTCAGGAAGAAATTTTGCTATGTGGAAATTGTAAGCGTGGAAGACGTGAAGCCTCCACCACCTCCGCCTCCGCCTCCGCCTCCACCTCCACCTCCACCTCCTCCACCGTCCCCACCGCCATGCCCGCCTCCATGTCCGTCGTGCCTGCCTCCACCTTGTCCGCCATACACACCATGTTACTGTCCGAGTCCATGCCAAGCATATGTCGTATGTCCAGTCAATGATCCAAATCCACCTAATTGCTCCATCATGTGATGGAGCAATTTTCAGATAAATGAATTTCCAGTAATATATGTTTAGAAATTAAGATAAATGTTCATTTTAGGACCAATTTAAAATATGCTTGCAGTAAGAGTTGATCGACCAGACCTTTAAGAAAATTGAGACTTGGAAGTCGTACATGAACAAGAAGCCTATGTTGGCAAGGGGTCGAAACATGCTATAATACCACGCTTTGCCTTTACATGATTAGTGTTTATAATTATAACATTTGTCCTTATTGTTTTCATTTTTTATTTATGAATTTAATATTGTTATGACTAATTATATTTTGCAGTGGGATGCATCTCGGACGCCCTAGATGATCTCGTGCCTATTAAAGTTAATTATAATGAGATGAACCAAGTTATGAAGCAAACTATAGATATAGTTAAATTAATTTATGTTCCATCTAAATAACTTTTATTCAACTTAATTAACTTGGTAATTATAATTAATTTGATTACTTAGCGCACTAATTAAGTAGCGCACTAATTAAGTCAATTGATGGATATTAGTTACCAAAACAAAATCAATGTATACCATAAGTGATGCTTTAAATTTGGAATTGAAGACCTTTTTGTGCATTTTTTTTATGGAATGAAACCATTAATCCTTTGGGTTAATTTCACAAACGATCACTGAACTTACATGAAAATTACAAAGCGATCACTGAATTTTAAAACTTCTAGTAATGGTCACTTAAGTTTCAGGGTAACTCAAAAACGGTTACTGAAGTTTAAAAACTTGTAGAAACGGTCACTGAAATTTAAAAACACTTTTTCAGTTTTTAGGGCTACTTTTGTAGCAACATTTCGGCCACCATCTATACCGTCAAATTTTGATACCATTGGAAAGCGCACAATGTCCTATTCAATTACGATTCAAAATCTCTTCATAACTTCAAGGGATTCAATCGAAAAGTCGCCGCACAATTCGCCCAAAAAATCTGAAAATCTACCTAGCTTTGCAAATTTTTTGAGCGACATTTGCGACACTTTTTCGACGACTTCCAACTACCAAGACATCGAATTTTGATACCGTTGAAAAGCCCACAATATCATCTTTAATTATCATTTAAAATCTCCACCAAACTCTAAAGGATTCAACCGGAATAAATCCACACATTTGGCTACTAAAAAAAGGCAAAAATCTGTCTAGATTCGGGATGCTGACTTTGTGATTTTATTTCGGTCAAATCCTTCGCCGTTATGGGGATATTTTGGGTGTTAATTGAAGAGGATATTGTGGGCTTTCTAATGGTTTCAAAATCCAACGGACTTGGTGGTCGGAATTTGCCGAAAAGTTGGCACAAAAGTAGCCCAAAAAAATTGAAAAATCTGCCCAGATTTTTCCCTTTTTGGATAGCCAAATTTGTGGATTTATTCCAGCCGAATCCTTTGGAGTTTGGGAGAGAATTTTGTTGGTAATTGAAGAGTACATTGTGAGCTTTCCAATGGTATCAAAATCCAACGGTATTGGTGGTCGGAAGTTACCGGAAAGTTGCCTCAAAAGTAGTCCAAAAAATTTGAAATATTTGCCCAGATTTTCGCTTTTTCGGTCCGACTTGTGGGTTTATTCCAGTCGAATCTTTAGGAGTTTGGGGAACATTTTGGATGATAATTGAAGAAGACATTGTGGGTTTTCCAACGATATCAAAATCCGGTGGTCGGAAGTCACCGAAAAATTGCCGCAAAAGTCGGCAGATTTTCAAATTTTTTGGACAACTTTTGCGACGATTTTCTGGTCAAATCCCTTGGAGTTACAAGGAGATTTGGGTAGTAATTAAAGAGGACATTGTGGATTTTTTAACGGTAACAAAATTCAGTGGTATCGATGGTTAGAAGTGGCCGAAAAGTTGCCGCAAAAATAACTCAAAAACTGAAAAAGTGTTTTTAAATTTCAGTGACCCTTTCTGCAAGTTTTTAAATGTCAGTGACCATTTCTGAAAGTTTTTAAATTTCAGTGACTGTTTCTGAAAGCGCCCCGAAATGTAAGTGACTGTTTTTTAATTTTCGCATAAGTTCAATGACCTTTGTGAAATTAACCCTTAATCCTTTAATATAAATAAAAGGGATATAACGTAGAATCTTAATATTATCTGTGTTCTTCTTTTCCACTTCGTCTTTTATGTTTGGAGTCAACACTTGAGGTGTAATACTTGTATTCTATTCTAATATCATTTGATAGACAAATTAGTGATTAGTGACATTTTACAGTATTTGATGGAATCATGATGTGGTCTAACTTATACTATTTTGATGTCATCTTGCAATCTGTGGATCAACCAATTGTATAGCGGCCCATTTTAGTTTCTCCAGCACACGTATCTATATGTATATATATATACCCCATACATAACTAGGTTGAAATAATTCATGTAAATTCCTTTAGCACAAATTGTATTTCAACTGGAAACTTGTTTTTATCATTGGGTTCCTTTGTTTATGGTAATTAACATCTAGTAATTTATCACCCAAGTGAATAGTTACATGAGTCCGAGTCTTATTCATATGAGGATATGGATTGATTTTAGGATGAATACTGTTGAAATTCTAAATAAATATTAACGACTAGGATTTTTGGCACGTAGACTTCATGGGCGGCTAAGGATGTCTTCACTTGTCATTCAAAATGTAAATTGCTAAGGATTTCAAGTAAACCTTACATTGTCTTCATGCACACGTGATATTATTAAATGTATCAATGTGTTCCTAAATTTGCTATTATGTGAACATGATGTTTAAATATTATGTTTTATGTCATAAATATTTTGTGCACATCAACGCATCCATAAGCATACATGAAATTTTAGGGAATAAAATAGTTTCCAAATGTCATGACTCAACAAATGTTTTTAAAATATATGTATCCTCAATATTTTTATTACGAGATGTATGTCTACACCATGAAAGGTGTGAGTAGGAAATGGAGCATGGGGGACCGGCGCACTCGACCAATGTTCAATGTCCAATGTCCAATGATAATGTTAATGTTAACCATTTTGCGATACTACCGATAGGACTGGACTGGGTTCCAAATAATAATTGTCCATTGCATTCTAATTGGCTAGTCGATACACCAAGTGAGCTCACGATATCAATGTTAAGTTTTTAGAAAAATGAAAAGAAGGAGATACATAATGAGAATTGCCTTTTATTTTACAGTAACTCATACGCGTATGATAGGCATGCATCATATGCATGAGATTTGCTTACCAAGCGCTTGCTCATCCCACGTTATCCCCCATTTCAGATGATGATTCGAGACGATGACTTGTGGTGACACGAATTCAATACTATCATATTTAATTGTTGAATTCGTTCTTGTAATTAAAGTTGACATTCAATTTATATTGTTCTACTCTTTAAGCATAAATTATTTTGAATTAATAGGTCATTGATGTTTATTTTGTCAAAAAAGAAATTAATCGCTTCCGCATTTATGATGTCAAAGAGAAATTTAAATGATAATACCTCCAAATCTGGGTATCTAGATTTGGGGCGTTTCAAATGCGGCTAGCGTTGTCAATACGGGTATCTTGTTCATGCGACCGCCAATCTAGATTTTCTTAAAAATCTGGTCGAAGCTTAATGGTGGGGCTAGGATTTTGAGTCAGCACGGACGACCGTCGATCGCCATAAAATATTAAGAGCCTGCTTGATGTCTCTTTTTTGCAAAAAATACATTTTGGAATAATGATTTGATGTAGAATGTGCGGTTAAAAATAAGAAAAAGTTTTGAATTTGCTTGTAATATTATTTTATTGAAAAATATGTGGTTAAAAATGAAAAAGATAAAAATGTATTTTCAAATAAATGGAAATCAAATAAGGCCTAAAATTTAAATATAACAATTACTTTGTTCAAATTGAAGACATATAAGTCCCTTAAAAGAATAAACCATACTCACAAAATGATATTGTTGCCAAGTTTTATATAATTCAAAGGAATGGCACGCATTCAAATCTTTACAATTGCATAAAAATCACTAAAATCTAGCACATGTTATTTTGTTATATTTAGTGCCAAAATTCTACAAGTACCATAATGGGTGAGCTTTAAATAATCCTAATAAGAGAGCTTACAAGTTTGAATGATCTTCGGTGCCTTCCCTATTGCATTAATTTTTGTAAAAATTGTATTTGCAAGCTAGCCAACTTAACTAGAAGAGATGTTTGACGTTAAAATGAATTTCCAGTAATATATGCTAAAAAGTTATCTATTGTCAACCACAAAAATTGCTCTCAATGGATCCAACACGCTTTGCCGTGGGTACTGGCCAGGTGCTGATCTGCTACTGTCGAAGCTTATTGTTTGTGATGGCCTATATTGACTTGGTGTGTGCTTTGTTTAGGTGATGCGTAAGTAAAGCACGTGAGTTGTGATTGATTTGTTTCGGTATATTGGATCTCTATTACTAGGTCAAGAGCAGGGATCCTTCTTAGCATAGGATTCCGTTGCTCCATAGGACTAAATCAATTGATTGTTTGAAATGTAGTTGGCCATTTGACACTAGCTCAATTAAAATGTAATGTACACTGGGCATTAGCTCAATTTTTAGGGTTCACATTCAACATGCAGGTACCATAATATACTTACAAGCAGTTGGCCTATTTATATACTAATACTATGTCAAAATTAAACAACTTATTTACTTAATATTTGTTTTAAATATATGAAACTTCGAAACTTGATAAATTCCTTTTGGGTTGACATTATTTATTTATATTTAGAAATGGCTCACTACTAACGACTTCCAACTTTTAAATTATAACATGTGATGGATAACTTCTACTTAGGAGCATGTTAGGTTGGCTTGATAATTAAGGGACCAGTACTCGTCGATCTAGCACAGTCATTTTATTAAGTTCTTATGCTAAAATAATAATTCTTTCTCGTCTCTTCAATTATTGAAAGAAAACTATGGATTAAACATGAACCAATTTGCATAATGAAATTCATATTAAAGTTGTTGACTTGCTGAAAATAAGTAAATAATGCATATCGTGTTCAAATGTAGCCTTCGAGAATGTATGACGAAAATGCTATCTTTGTTTTTTTACTAACAAATTAAATGTATACTATCGCCAATATGCTTTTAATTATCGGATTATTATTTAAGCTATGCAACCAAGGCAATTTATTACAGAGCAAAAGTATAAAGTCAGTTTCACAATTTTAACTTCGATACATTCCTTAGCCG